TACTTCTTCCAAAAAAAATTTTTTTTTTTTTTTCTGCATTTTCTAGAAGTTGAATTTGGGAGTGAAGTACATTTCATTTATTTGTTCTACATGGTAGTGGCTTTTGTATTTTGATCAAGTCTTTACTTTCAGGAGAGTGGATTGATTTTTATTCTGATATTCTGGATTGGGCCTCAAGATGCCGTGGACATCCTTATTTGTGGATTACAATAACTGTGTTCGCTTGGCGGTGTTCTTTCATGTGATTCTGTAATTTAATTAATTCAGGTCAGGGGATACTGCTCCCACTTCTTTGCTGCTGTAGTTATTTGTATCACAAGTTTTGGTTATCGTTTGATTCAGCTCCAATCATATGTTCAAAATGTAAATTTAAACAGGGTGGATTTTACGGCATTGGATATGCAGAACTATATTCTTGTGCCTATTGTTTGAAATTTGAAATCACAAAACTTCTTGAGATTTGACGGGAGCATTCTATGGATCCTTTGGTCTGTTATCAAATAATCCATGAAATGACGGGGACTTGTTTCGTACAGTCTGACCATTATATGGAGCCTTATGTCTTCTTCCTGTGTTGCATATTGCTTTCTCATCACCTCTGAATTCTTATGTGGTTTCTTTCTGCTGTAGGCAAGGTCTTCATTGCATTGCGAAGGAGCTTTTTCTGAGCGTTTTTTCTTTATTAAAATTGTGGGGGAGGATTGAGGATGTATGTTGCAGTAACAATAAGGAGAAACAGAGCTGTGACAGAAGCTGGGCAGATTAAAATGAATGTTGGGTTCATCGCACACTACCAACTAACGCAAGTTTGCCAGGTGAATAATTCATCAACTTCCTTTTATTGGGCTTCGAAGGGGGGATGGATTTTGCAAAGTTTGTGTCGCAGATGACCTTTTGTATATCAGAATTTTTACTGGGAAATATTTTTAGCTACCAGCATTCGATATTGTGAGGAAAAGAGTATCTGTATTTCATATTTTTTAAACTTTAACGGGCTGAGCGAGCTTGTATATCTCTCTGCTATAATGGGTTTGGAAAGTAACATGTGATGTTTGGATAAGGTTCTGAAACATATAACTTCATGTCAAGGTTTAAGTTTAGTCTGGTTGTGCAAATTGAGCCGCTGTTAATTTGAATACTAAGATTCAATTCTCACTGTCTAAGATAAACCCCACTGGTTTTACTTGATGTCTCTGCAACAATTTGACCAATTTTTTTATTTTTCCAATCCCTTTTATTGTTGCATATTGATGTTATATGCCCTTTTCTTTTGCAGGCTGAGTATTTCCGTCAGTTGCTAAAACCTGTTACGTAGTCTAGAATCAGTTGTCGTTGGTTTAGGCAGTATTTTCCTTGTATTGGCATCATTTATTAGAAGGCTGCAGAAGAGATAAGTGCTGATCGGAGGAAGCGGCCATCCCTTTTGAAAATGCACTCAGCTTAGTACCTACTTTCTTTCTTTCCATTCCTTTAGCAGCTTCGGTCCGGCTTTGAGATAGAACAATTGCCAGTTGCGAAAGACAAGCCTGAATTACTTGCCGGGGGTTTACTGATTGGGAACCGAACTTTACCATGCAGAATCACAAATATTTTTACCCCGAGAAGTTTGTACTCCCTTTGGCACCTGAAGCAGTTGACACTTGTTTGCATGCTCCTCTTGTTTCGGCCCTTGATGCAGTTTTACCTTCTGGTGCCAGGCAGGTAACACCCTTTGAAAGAGTTGAACTGCAACCCTCTGAGGTTTGCCCAAAGAATTTCATTATCTTCGATCAGACTGATAACCAAAGCAGAATTATGTTCCATCCCGCGATGGCCAACAAATTTAGTGGTCCTGCCGTGAATGTTCATGCTCCCTGTAATCGAGACTCTGACAAGAACAAAGCTAATCCTGTTGAAGGAGAATTATCATCTTTTGAAGAGGACTCTAAGGACATTGACGCATTGTTGAGCTTGGAAGGGGAGGAACTAGAAGACCATGATGAGGAAGAAGTCAGCACTGCGAGGACTAACGAAAATTATGAAAGTATCTGTGACACTTGCTCCAGTTATGGCTCAAAATCAAAGAAGAGGTCATCGTCATCTGTTCGAAAGTCTTCTACGATCCATGGTCACTGCAGCAACCCTGAAATTAAGCACTGGGAAATGAAGAGAATGATTAGGGTACTGAGAGGGATCGTGCCTGGAGGTGGTGACCAAATGGATTCTGTCACTGTTTTAGATGAAGCTGTGAGATACCTCAAGTCTCTCAAGGTGGAGTCTGAGAAGCTTGGAGTTGCACTCTGAAAATGAAAGTTGGACACTTCAATTGTGTTCCTGTGGAAATAATCGAAATGTATTGGCCACCTTCTATGAATAGCACTCCTTCCGGTCTCCCTCCTTTCTTGTTTCTGCTCGTGGGAAGAAAATCTTGGAAAGTAATAAAATGACAGCTGGAATTTCACATGTTCAGGTCATGTAAGACAAGAAAGTACATTCATTATTGTACTCTTTGTTGCTGTTTGGCATTGACTCTTCTGTTTTGCTTCTGTTTTGTATTGAGAATGAGGAATGACTGTGGTTCTTCCCCCCTCCCTAAAATTATGGCATGATTGTTATTATCAATGGTGTTTACTGTGTGAGAGTAATCATTAAACGGGTCTCTTCTCATTTACACTTGTTCTCTTTATGCCTAATTAATGGCCCTGCCTTTGTACCCAATTACAATGCGTGGAACTTGAATCTCACAACATGAGTATGGGATTTTTATTATGAGATTTATATTATCTCGGGCTCTTGATCCTCATGAGGTAGCTTTTACAGAAAAGTTCTCTTAGATACATTTGGTACTTTTTGTGGAGTATCTCAAATCTTTTCTTACACAATTTCATTTTTCGGTCGGTCAGTTTGAAGATCAACATATTGGTGCCCTGATAATCCACCCGCATGCTTATATATGCGTTTGATATCATCATGGTCAAGCAAATGCATGTAACATTTGCACTCATGAACTTCCTTATTGGAATTTATCGGTGTGCTTGGGTTTAAGCTGAAACTATTACACTGACAATTTTAATGGAAACGGGCCTGTTTCCATGAAAATCATGACTTAGATTATTTCCACCGTCATCCATCTGTAACAGCTGCTTCTAAGTACCCAGACCCTACTCAGTTTTTAAAGAGAGCCAATTTTTTGCAGATATAAAGTGTCCAATTGTTCATACTCAAGCTGATGAGGTCATAACTGGGTCTCTTTGAATTGTAATACTCTGATCCTAAATATAAAAACTAGTTGACTAATTTGAGCAGATTAAGAAAATAAGTTAAGTTAGTTATTTGTAATAAATATGTGTTGTTTTTTTTAAAATATCCTTACTGATCGAGTGTATTAACTAGAACTACAATTATTAGAAGAATTACCTTGAGAAAAAATATACAAATATGAAAGATAAAATGGATTAGGGTCTTATATTTAGAATCAAAATAAAAATCAAACAAAAGTTTTATATTAAGAAACAGAGGAAGTAACTTGTAAGAAATGAACTATCTCCATCAACACGCCTGAACTTGACTAGGGAACTGCGAGTGAAATTATATTGTTATACACCCATCCGCATATGAACATTTGACTTTGCTGTTTATGTGCCAAGAACTTTAACAGAATGAAACTGATATCCATTTTGAAAATTGACGACAGAAAGAGGAAAAAATTGGTTTAAGGCAAAGTGGAGATCATTGTCATGCATGCATTGTGCCTAATGGTCCCCTCAATGTTTCAAATAGTCCTAGTGGAGCACCATCCGATAACTGTGCAATGAAATTGCCCTCACCTTTGTTCCCCCCCCCCCCCCTTAGAAGCTTGAATTCTTATTTTCAATGTTGCTCATTTTCTTCGATCTTCTCCCTTCTAATTTTGCCCCGGAGGTGAATAGCAAGATTAAAACTTCTCTTAATTTAAGATACAAATAAAAAATTTATACCCCATCTAGTCCTAAATGCATATAGGAGCTAAATAACTAATTTACAGATATTAAAAATATTGGTTAAGTTAATTATTTATTTAAAAAAAATATGTTTAATTTTGTTAAGATATTTTCTTTAATCATTTGCACTGAAACTATTTATTGATAAAAACCTCTTGCAATTATTTGAAATAATTTTAAAAACAAAATAAATTGAATTTTTATATTTTCTATCAAAATAACCCCTAGCTAGCTCTTATTTTTAATATTAGAGTGAGCAATTTTGTTTTTGTCACACCTACTAAGCATTAAAATACTACTCCTGTCCTAAATATAAAACCTATTTTATAATATAATTTACACTACAAAATGGATTTTATATTTCAGATCAGAAGAGTAATAATTTGTTTCCATACAAAAATACTTGGTTCCTTGTAGTCTGGAGAAATTAAATTTTCCGATATAGAAGATATAGATTAAATATTCTTTTTTGTCAAGTGTCACCTAGAAGTATCTAAGTTCCGGGTATACCTCAGTCCTTGTTAAGAAAGAAAGAAAGAAAAATAAATCGAGTCTCAGACTCACTCGTGTCAGGCCACTCTTGAAAGAAGGATGAAAAAGAGAAATATTCAGAGCAGCACGGCCGACCTTGATAAATGTTTTGGGTTCACTTGTTATAATTCACAAATTTACTCAAACTGAAAACCAAATCAAGCTTCACTTAAAATTAGTTTTGTTCAATTTTTTTCTGGGTTCGATTTGATTTATTGAGTTCTATTCAACTTTAAACACCCTTAAATCCAGATATCATGCTACTAACATTACTTGTTTCAATGCCATATGCCAACAAAATTTGACCCAAGATACTTAGGAATAGGCTGGTTAGCACAACATATGAGTATAGGGGTTGAAAAATGAATTTTCCAATCTGATTATACAGAAGAGAGCAATCATAAGACACAATTGGCTAGAATTAATCCTTTAAATGATACAGTTTGGACCAAAGCAAGATGAACAAGCTTATTTTTGCCACACAATTATGCCTACATACGACCAAAAAAGTTATAAACTTGAACAAAATCACAACCATTAATAGCACAAAAATCCCAGACATCCCGAAATTTGTTCAACGAGGAATAAGTTTTATAAATTAATTTTCTGCTATTTACATTTAGAGTGCCAATACTGTGGGAAAAAGAAATTTTAAGAAAGCATACAACTACTTGCATCATTTTGTCTCTACTCTGGTTAGGATTTACATATTCTGAAGCAATTCCAACAAGCCCTCCGAACTTGGGCAGAATGAAGATACACTCGCAAATGCCCAGTGGCCAAAACGTGATTATATTGGACTCACTCTCAATGGCTGCATCAATGACAAAGCTCAAGTGACTAAAAGGTTTTTCAGTTATTTGAAAGCCAAATGATGTCAAAAAAAGCAAAGATGAGAAGAAAACGTGTGCACAGAAAAGGTTAAATCAACCCAATGGAGCCAACTCCCACATAGGAGGGTAAAAGAAGACTACTGTCCACATCAGCAAAAATAATTTTCTAGAATTTAATCATGGGATACAAGTTGAGAGGAAAATCTGATTTTCACTTGATATTTGCCTTCACTAGGCCTTTTCATGCATGCAAAACAAAAGAGGCCCCCTACTCTCCTATATTTGTTTCAAAGGCGATATTCTCCATTAGATACAATATAGATGAAATGAAACCATGTCAAATGCCCATGGTTCCTAATTTGAAACTTAATTGAACAGGCCACACAGAAAAGGGTATTTTCAGGAATAGGGCATGACAATTGCCATATCAAATGAATTTTGCAACATGATAGAGAGACATTAGGCAAAGTCCAAGTGTAAAATTGAAAAGTGAAAGCCTGAGAACATTAGATCCGCAAATGCAAAATCATAGTTTCCTTGCAAGTCTTGCACAGTTCTTTTGTGCCAGAATTTTCAGACTGTCACATTTCCATGCTTAAGAAAAAATGAACCCACAAGAGCCAAGAGAAACTAATGGAGGGTGAAAATTAAAGCAATGCCAATTATCTTTAAATTAAGAATCATAGACAAAAAGGACCTTATATTTGATAAATTTAATCTTTTGCTAGTACTTTATTTTATTATTTGTTTTATTTAACTACTTAAGCCAAAAGGATGGCAGATAAGTTTATTTACATCAGTAATTGTTTACTTCATAAATGGATTAGCTTAGAGAAAAGATAAAGGGATATAGGGACCTGATTCTGCATGCTTGTTGCAGTAGTCCAGCGCTGAGGATTATGAACTACAACTGGGTTATCACCGACAAAAGCTAATGTACTCGATTCTTCCATTGTGCTAGAAGCTTCAGCAGGTGGTAATTCTCTCATTACCCACAGTAACATCGCTGAAGGTATTGACGAACCTGAAGACGCAGGTGATGAGACGAAAGCAGCCTGTTAATACTTTAAGCCAATATTAAATCACTCATGAAACCATTTGAATAAGCAACTATAAATGGCACAATATAGCGAAGTTCTTTCTTGAAGGATAAACCCAAAATTCAGCTTTAGAGAGAAGGCTGTTAATGTCCATAATTTAAGCTACTACTTTTCTTTTTAAAAAAATAGACGCTGGATTTAAACTAATACTAAATCACTTATTAAATGGAATGAATTAAAGAATTCCGTTAAGTATCAGAACTGAGAACCAAGGAAAATATTACAGGGACATACCTACAAAATAATACAAAATAAGTAAAAGAATGGTGCAAACATCATGCGCATGCTGCGAATGCCAATGGTATAACATCTGCATTAATGAAGAGAAGGAAAGTTAAGGAAATCTTGTATATCTCAGCTCAAGAAATGAAGCAAAGAACAATTCTAGCAGAAAGGTGAGTTGTACATACAGGAATATCAGTGAAGAGAGCTTCTAAGGCACTTGATGTGAAGCATAGTACACAGGTCACAGTTAAACAGGCAACCTGTAAAAAATGCATATATTAGTTAGTGACTTGAGCTTCAAAATTGTATACAAGAAATATCCATCTTTCTGGGAATATGGCAAGTGCACATCAGTTTATGCATGTGTGCGCATGCAGAAAAATAGTATGCATCCGACAAAAAGGCCTAGCTAAAGTTCTTGCAACCATAATGGCAGGCATGCATGATGCACCTAGAGGTCCAAGCAGATGAAACATGGAATCTTAGGTAGCGATCATGGAACAGCATATAAGTAATCACCATTGCCGTGCCATTTGATTATCCAACAATTACATGTCCAATTACTAGGCATCCAGGTCAAGCAAGCACATCAACATTTCACTATACGTATTCTATTTGGCAGAAGGCATTAGAGAGGGCAACCAAAGGCTAGCAGACATATCATCCATTTTTTATTTCAAGTTCAAATGGAAAAGTTGTGCGCGGTACTATATTCAAAAGGAAAAGGAATCTTTTGGGTGACGGAAATATACCTTGTACATTTCAGATGAGGGCTGCTCAGCTCGTACTTTGCTCATCTTCAAGCATAATAGGATTCCTGTTAAAAAAAGGCAATGAAATTTATACGAAAAACCATGCTTACAAAAGCAGGCATAGCTTTTGTTAGAAGTACAACCAAAAGCTAGCTTTCAATAGGAGTTTTTAATTTTAAGCCTATGAGGGGATTCATTATGAGAAAGAAGGAATACATCCAAATTGCTCCATCAAGCACGAGTAATAGTGAAATTTGATTCTGCACACATGCACGCACAAAAATAAATGGGTAATCAAGGTTACCTCTTTTCAACATGCATGTTCAAAATGACCTCTCCAATAATTAACACCATCTACAAACAATGAAAAAAAGTATTACCCCTCTAGCCCTAAATATGGGAACTAGTTGGGAAGTAAAGAAGTATTATTCCCTCCAGTCCTAAATATAGGAACTAACTGAGAAGTGTGCTCTAATCCTAAATATAAGAACCCAATCTTTGGTCTCCAACATTTATTATTTTTCTCCCAAACTTCCCACGTCCATGGAAACTTTCTCATTCCCGTTCCCTATACCAAATGGGCCCTGAATTCTAGCATAACTCTGGAACAGCATTTTTTTTTCCCAATTAAAAGACCATTTGATGCTTAGGCTTGTTTTGATATTTTTATTGAAATTAATGAATTCTTTTTTTTTTTATAGCATAGGCTATTGAATTGTAACAGCTGTAAGAAAAAATGTGAAATGCATTTTAGTGCACCACATTCCCATGGTTGAATTGAAATAAACCAGCCAGAGATAGAGTTTCTCTATTTGGCAAGCATCACTCTTTGCCAAAATTTAGGTCTCACTGGAAGGTTGAAACTTAAAAGTTTGGTTAAGTAAGGAATTAACAGAATGATCTTCCTTAGCAAGTAGTTGGAATTGATTTTAGATGTCAATGGTTTGTAGGATGAGAATTCACCTATTCTTGCAAGTCTCCTTAAGTTTTTAGATGCTCTGAACTACAGGTGTCATAGTTTCCTTTTCTCTTTATGTAGCCTAATTCCCATGTTCTAACTATTAGCTAAAAGAACATAGTCGACCACACCAGACAACTTCTATAATGTCACAAAATTAATTTGGAATTCTGCAGTTCGGCTCCATGAGTGAATAAGTTCATAAAGTCAGTTCAGTCAGTGTGTTACCTAAGGTATAACCTCTTATGGTGTTTGTTGTCAAAGTCGGTGGAATCCTAGTACTTTAGAAAAATAAAGCACACCGTAGAAATGAGCAGTTAATAAGAGTCAGCAGTTTGTCTGGTTAGACAGAAATACGCACATTGTCAAGGGATATCTTTGCTTTTACATCTATAACAGGACAGAGTCGAGCATATGACTTCAGTGGTATGCAAACGAGATTTTCAAGGAAATCACAGCTTTGGACATGCGAAAACACAAAATATCTTTGCTTTTTCTGTACTTTCGAATTTGAGGAGATCTTATCCCAGCAAGACATACATTCTTCGGTTTCTAAAAGAACTTCTAATCCCCTTGCGCCATGCATTATCCTATTATCCTTATCCACACTATATGTCACTCATTAGTTCAAAGTATTGCACTGATAAACTGCTATTCAATATCATATTGTAGCTCAACTGGTTAAAGTCTGAGCATAATGCTAAAATGCTATAGGAAATGCAGACTATTATGCATAAGTTGAGCAGTATTTATTAACGAGGTCAGGATCAACTTTCAACAGAGATTTGATCCCATATAATTGGAGTCATGTTGTTCACTAAATATTACTATTTTACATGAATATATTTTAGAAAATGATCAGTTTCTGTGAGCACATGGTACTATTTCACCATGCGTGCTATCATAAGAGTCTCTAATAGTAGTTTTACTATTCTATAGAGAGGTAATTTCCTACTAATTAATATTCATTCTACATGTATTATCCATGCTATGCGTAATTCACTAGTTGAAAGTATCGTCACCGCTATTCAATATCCCATGTAATTTGTAACCAGCAGTTTTCTTTTTCGTTTTGTTTTTTTTTTTTTTTTTTTTGTTTGGGGGGCGGGTTGCAAAATTTATCACCAGTAGATTGAAGTCTAAGCAAAATGCTAAAATGCTATAGGAAATTCAGACAATGGTACATAAGCAGTATATATTAACGAGCCCTGAGATCAGGACTCAGGTCTCGGCAGCAATGTTGTTGTGCACCCAAAATTACTATTTCAACTGTGTCTATTTAGAAAATGATCAGTTCCAGTGAGAACATGGTTTCATTTCACTATATATGCTATTACAAGAGCTTCTTGCATTAGTTATGCTGCTCTATGGAGATTATAATTATATATAATTTTAATTTTAATTATCATTGTGGTTATACATGCAATAATGAATAAGAATCAAATACAGTGAGATGCTAGTAGTACCCGGCAAGAAACACATTAACCATATGGAGTCCAATCATTCATCTAATTTGACAAAAAAACATGCCTTTTAAATCTGCTAAAATTTTAAACCAGTTTCAAGAACGGCCTACTGCCCATGCAAGTATAATAAAAGTCCATTTTGACAAAACTCAATGGAAAACAAAAGGATTAGTAGATGCTCACCATAGCATGTTAATGCTGCTCCTAATATGAGCATTCCAGCAGCAAAAACATCTACATATACCTGCAACATTTTTGAAGCCACTAGATTACAACTAACATTTTCATCACTCAAAATGTTCTTCAAAATAATAGGACAGATTCTAATAATTCTGAACGATTAAGGCATGACCATTATTTCTGATTAGTTCATAAGTTAGCACTGGGGTTTATTTCTAAACCAAAACCAATAAGTAACTATCCGAGTTTACAAATATATATTCACTCCATTCGCTTCTACATGAACATATTGATGGAACTGTTATTTATATTGCTTAATAATCGTTAATAGTAAGCTGCGACCCTTCCCTCAATAAGGAATAAACAGGGATGGTAAATAGCTATATCCAGTCCAGGTATTACAATCAATCAAAAAAACAGTAAGAAGGATAGATAAAACCCGCAAGCTAGTCCTCCAAGCAATTCAAGAGGCTGGAGCTCTCCATCCACTTCCTAGTCCTCTCCTGCCTCCCCCCTTGCACGCCACCCTAGATAACTCTCTTGCCACTACTCTGGTCATTAGTGAGCCCCTGTCCCGAATCCTTGGTGCCTTGTGGTCCCCCCTCGTCTCTCCCACCCCTGTCTTGCCTTTGGGTAGGCCTTTGTAAGGTTTTCTCTTGTAAGTTTGGGCCGGAGCAGTATTGGGCCCATCATATATCTTTTTTTTTTTTTTGGGTTACAAAAAGAGGATTTGAACCCTTAACCTCTACTCCCATCTCACCCTACCCTTCCTGAGCTAGGCCTAGGTAGCTACATATCATGTACTTAAAGAGCACAATAAACTCCATCTCTGTCCCATCATCATATGCCACAAATCTGCTGCTTCCTTCTTTCCGGAAGACAAACCACCCAAACGCATTTCATTAAACTGAAAAAGATTTTTCTACAGAGGACACTACCAATTTCTCTTCACATAATGCATTCTCTCTAACGCACAAAGGCCCAAACCAATGATTTGCCAAATGATCAACTTTTGTTTCTTTGATAAGAGTAGAAGAGTTGACTTCTAAAAGATCTTTATAGTTCAACGTTATAATTATAATGATATGAAAGCTTCTTTTTCAAAAAAAGCAGAGTAAAGTCAGTCCCCCCTGCACCGGGGTCTCCCCAAAAAAAAAAAAAAAAAGAGAAGGAAATTAACAAATTCAAAACCATCGCTATTCATGGGAAAAGCAGCCACAAGAAGAGGACAAAGACATTTGCAACTTGACATATCAAAAATTTAAAGAGCACTGCATAGCATGAAAACATAAAGCAAAACCATAATCACTGTGTCCATACCCGAGCAGCCACTGCTGAATCAATGGGATTCTTCCCTAATCCAATCCACATTATTACAGCAAATGCCAGCATGATGACGAAAACTAGAAGTGTAACCTGGTGAATCAAGTCCAAGTGATATACTTGAAAGAATTACATTCTAATGTGAACTATCAAATAACCATCAGAAAAAGGGGCAATGCGACACAATAGAGATAGAAACTATATGACCAGATACAGAAGAAGAAACATTCAGCATTGCCCATACCAAAAGTACAATCTTCTGCCGATTACCAACGTGAGCCAACCGAAGGGGAATCCAGTTTCTGTGGCTTGCTATGCCTGCCAAATGTGACTCATTAAAGGACTTTCTCAGTAAAGCTTCCTCAGAAAAGCTCCCTTCATAATCATCGTCATCATCTGGCTGATGGCAAAGATCAACCCTGCAAAATGGAACCCCGGAGAGAACAATGCAGAAAGTAGCTTTGTAGTCAGGAGAAAGGAAAAGATGAAAACTGAAATTGTTATTCATATATAGCATCTGGATTTTTATGCTGATGGTTGCAAATAACTTTAGGAGTTAGATGATCACATGTTATGTCTCTGTCCACATGAAAATACATAAGAATTCATAGGGGCATTCTAGTAGAAACAAAACGCTGTAGACAATACCAGTGCATGACGTACACTCAAGTCAATCCACAATTTAATTTCAGAAAGTGGCTTCAATGCAATAAGTTAAGATCATAATAACAAGAAAGTAGAAATAACAAAAGAACAAATTTTACAGCAGAAGTAGCAAACCAACAGCGGCGCATGACCCCGATTTTAATGTATTAAAAGTATATGCAAAATGATTGAAACTGGAGGATGCTGCCTTTGAGTAGAAAACAAGTAAGGGGTTTGATACAGGATACGCTTACAAAAGACTGCAGACCACAATTCTTCATCCCTATAGTCTCTAACTAACAACAATATAACGGTCACAGTCTTGTTCTGTATCACTCCCAAAACAAATATGATCAGAGTCATAAGCTACTCTTTTAAGGATTAGCTTATTTTAAGGGCTTCTTTACATTTGATTATTTTAAGTGCCTAGAAGCAAGCACTTTCACACAAGCTAAGACAAAACTCCTCTCATATACTTATCTCATATTCTGTAAATTATGATTGAAAAGCTGTTTATAAGCTATTCCAAACAAGTCCTAAGTGATTTTGCACTGTGAGAGATAAGTAAGTGAGAGAAGTTTTATCTTGTGTAAAGCACAAAAGAGCTTTTCTTCAACTGATTATCTAGTTTCCCAAACGCCTCCTAAGACTACATATGCATATGCCATTATCCCTCTATTTAAAGAAGGGCATGTTAATCTGTAGACAATATTCTTATATAGCAACAGCTTCCAGTCTTGTTGAGATTGAAGAAAAGATAAAAACATGGAAATGCAAAGAAAAAGGAAATAAGAGACATAATCAGACAGGTAGACAGACAGAGGGACCAAGAAGAAAGAAACATCAGCTGAGAATAATGAAGATGATTGCAAGAACTTAACAAACATATAATTTGCCAGGAAACATTGCAAGTAACTTGAAAATTCACAGCTCCATAAATTAAACATCAAGAATCTTGAAGATAAGTCAGATCACATACCAGAAGGATAAAAGTAGAAGAAATGCTGCAAAGAAAAGTATTTTAGGGAAAGCTGCAAGACAAATCATCAACAGTTTAATCATTTTCGTTAAAGCTAAGGCCTCTCACAGATTTCCAGTTAGTAATGAAAGGAGGTATACCCAAAAAAATAAAACCACAAGAGTGTGACCAGCACGTCCATCCATAGCAAGTAGCAAGAAGTGTCAATACAAAATAAAAGAAGAAACCTGAAATATGAAATCCCAAATTGAACAGATCAGGTGGAATCAAGCACAGAAAGCAAACTAAACAACAAATTAATGCCCACACATAATATGTTCATTAAATGGCAAAAAATCATTGTAAGAAAACTGAAATGGAACTATTTTATGTGGCCGGTGATGATTATGTCAAGAAATCAATTGATTATCATAGAGTGACAGCAAGACACTAAAGGCTCAACTCTCAAGAATGCTACGAAGAAAGACCATGCATATAATTAAAAAGTAGTCCATAGAGTTTACCAGGCTGGGCATCAAGCTAAGGTCAAGCCTCACCTAGCCTATGAACAGTCCTATGCTATGCCATCTTAAATTTAAATAAACAAGTGATAAGCATAAATCAAATAGTCACAATTTCTTGCAAAAATTATAACGAGCATTTCTTAGCAAAATAGTGATGGAGTAACCTAATTTCATATTCATATGATACAAGCAGTGGATTTCATGAAACCAGTCCTATAAAATGCTCTTCAAAAGTGTGCCTTTCATTAAATTTTAAGTAGTGTGTGTTACTGTACGTACAATGTCCACCCTCAAATGGATAAAGTCATCTTCTCTTAAGTTGTTACTCATTATAAAATAGCTTTTAAGCCGAATAATAAGCTAAGGCATACATGAGCTAACTTCATGTAATCAGGTCAGGAACAATACATTCAAACTAGTTCATCCCTACTTTAAAGCAGTGTGAAAGCATTTATCTTTTGCGCCTATGACAAGGAAAACACAATCATCTGCAACATTAATTTCACAATAAAAATACAACTAAAAATTTAAAAGTCAATTTTCTTCAGATGAATGCCTTCAAGAAAACCCCCTACATGCCCTAAATTTTATTGTCTTCTAGAGAGAGAAATGTGGCTTTTTGGGGTGGTAAGTAGCGTATCATTCTTGCATGCGTGCCTGGTCTGTAATGTGTATATTCTAATCTTTCTGCATATGATTGATTAAGATCGAAGCTTCCAGAGAAAACCATAGCAGCCAGGTCAAAATCAACCTTGGTCAGAAAGTGAAAAGACTTAGTAGCAAACACAAAATTATACTGTTAAGGCAATCCAGACATAGTTGAACCAAAGAAACATTTTCTTCTAATGATTCAACATGCCTATGGTCAAATTAATACTTGATTTTTGCACCCAACCTTGCTCACCACAACTCAACAAGGATTATGAAGCTCAGTCATGAAATGCAGTTAGCTCAAACAATCCATAAAAAATGTGGAGATGGCATCAACAGAGCATTCAAAACCTACAAGAGATATTCCATGCTAGATAAATTAACAGTTGAAGTAACCAATGAAAGCAAAATAGAACAAACCCAAACTGGAAGTGCCAATCATTAGATGAAACACCTGCAGCACATCATATTTACGTCTCATGAGAAGCTAATATATATAGAAAGCAGTTAGAGCAGTTGTGGGCTGTATGCCTAGTGAGATGCATGGAAGCTCATACCATAAACATAGAAATTCATAAAGAAACCATAAAGAATACTACAAGAAGTATGATATTTCAAAATACGATAGACAAAACATGCATCAGTCCCACTCCCCATACCTACCCTTCTATCATTAGTAAAACGGTGCTAAAATTAAATAGACCATTGAGACAAGGACATCATCTGTGCGACCCATCGCCAGAATCTCTTGTATTATTCACTATTAATATTTTCACTTTTTATCTAACTCTCCAACACACATACCCACACCATCAAAATTACAAAAGAAAGTCTACAATGCACAAGAGTGACATGTATTTATATCCAGCAAATATATAACTTACAGATCTGTACAGACAGATTGGTGATCTAAAATAGCCATATTAGTTCAATCTCACGCAATTCAAAAATAAGGATAACATAATCCAACGTCCTGCGCAACTTAGAGCCAATAGTTTATATCCTATTGGGTTAATTGCTGCTGAAATCGACAGCCTCTGAGACCTTCATAACTCATCTAAGGACCTATTTCCATTCCCACAGCTATGCTGTATGCTATAACAGTGGACAACAGCTATGACCAACAAGAAGGAGCAATTCACAAATTACAACTTCAACAAGTTCATCCAGTTAGAAAAGAGTATGTAACATGGAAACATGTTAAATCAGAGCTAAATCATGTTGACAAAGAACAGATTGGAAAATGCCCTTACTTTTTGCCGAGTCCAGCCAGCTAGTGAATGCCTCATGTGGATTCTTATTAACTGTAAAACCAAGAGAAAGCAGCTGACAATCACTACAGGGAAATAACTTTCACAGGGCATGCATCAACGACATAAAGATCTAATGTTCTCTGAAAGGTATCCCAATCGTTTAATGGATGGTAATCAGTTCAACTGTAAGAATCAACTTGGATGTAACAAAAATCAGCCGCGTCTCACGCCACTAAGCTTCCCCCTTGCCCGAACAAAAACCGTTATTTACTATACACAGCACAATGCTTGCAATTACATCCCACTTCAAATGGGCGTGTGGCTTAGAATTGACAATGGAGGTAGTCGATTGACCATTGACAATAAATAACCTTCCAACTGTTTGCGCAAATCTTTTAATGGGTCAAACCAAAGAGTCTGGATCCAATGTCATAGTCATCGAGATAAGAAAGAACCCGATTATAAGGAAAGTAAAATGTAGGAAGGAGAGTTTCAACATGCGCACTAAAATTTTCAATTGATTCAGGCATGCATCATCAAAAGCAATCAATCTCCCAAAGTCAACACATTTTCCGTACCACACAATTCATAGGTTACTCGAACCCACATAGACGAAGAAAACTAACACTGAACACATTCCATTTCACAATTCTTCATCTTTCTACATACCCTCTTCCCCAATTAGATGGAAATGGAAAGTGAAAGCGGAAATGCATGAACCTATTTCAGAGCAAAACCCACAAATCTAACGGGATAACAAACCTGAAAATACGCAAAGAAAGCAATAATGCCGTCAACAAGAGCAAGACCCACAATGACACCCACCAAGACTCGTGGAAAACAATACCCTTCTTCTCTCATTTCAAACATCCTCCTCCCAAGCCGTTCCTCTCTGTCCCTACCAAAGAGAAACAGCGAGTCCGAGCAATGTTTGCAGTTCCAAACAGTGAAACCCACAAACCGAATACCAAATATTCTGAAGGGTATGGTTCATGGGGAGATCAAAGGGACCTTTTCCGCCACGGCTTCTGGTAATTTCCTGAGCAAGGGCGAGAAAGAGAGACAGATAGATAGCTCTGTTTTTCACAAAGGGTCGGTTTAGCTATTTTTGAACGTGGCATTCCGGGTAAATAAGGAGAAAGAAGAAGGTCAGTGGCGTAACTTGTGGAGGTGATCATGTTTGTGTGGAGAAAAGATACGCTCCGAAGTCCAATTGCAATCACGCGGGTGGTGGCTTTCAGTACTTAAAGGTAGAAGATTCCACTGATCCCTATTTGACTCTATGGTTTGACTGGCTATAAAGCCTAAAAATCACATGCATTAATTAGTTTTCAAGTTTTAATAATCATCCACATCAACAGGTAAATAAGTTATTAGTTTATTTTTATTTAACATAGTAGTGTGTGCCTCAATCCACCTTCAAGTTTAATGTCATCTTTTAATAAAATTCAAGAAAATTGTAATCAAACATGTAATGTTAAATGTTAGCTGCTGGTCAGAAAAAAAAAAGTGAAATGTTAGTTTTTTATATATTACCTCCGGTCCTAATTATAAAATCTTGTTTGTAATCTACAAATAAGATCTCATAATTAGGATCAAATGTAGTACATATATAACTCACTTTCAACATGTTTTAAAAACTATGAATCTTATTACTTTTAATTTTATTTTTATTTAATATATATAATGTCAAAAAAAATAATAGTTTACGCAATGAAATTATTAATAATTTATATTAAGAATAAAAAATACTAGCCCTTTTTTAGATTTAGCAAGACCAAAGGAATACTCATCTGGTACTATTTATAAGGTACTTCTAACATGTTTTATACAGATCAAGAAAAACTTTAAACTTCATTAACTCTCATTTAAAATTTAATAACTTTTTAATGTTATCTTTATTTAATATACATTATACCTCATATAAATAAAATCAACACAATAATAAATGAGGGGTAAAATTGTACATCCATACCAAAAAATTTTCTTAGTGTCCTGTAAATAGAACCAAAAAATATCTTCTCTCTCTATCTTATAAATAAAACCAAATGAGTAACATTTTTTCCCTGATGCGCCGATGCCAACTAAAAATTATTGTTCTTCTCTCGAGATCTAGCTTAGAGGATTGTCCTATGGAATATCCTTGTATTATTTTAAATATTATATTTGTATATATATACACACATATATCTGTGTGGGTATTTAAGATATAAAATATAATGAGCTTGAATTTAGATTAATGACAAGTGTGTTGAATAATTTGACCCAAATAATACTATTTTCGTCATGGGCACATGACCGCTGTCTTTACTGGTTTACTCTTTAGTTCAATCCAGTTTTAATATTTTTTTTATTGCTCTCTCTTTCATTTTCAATTCTTGAAACTTCTCCCCTTTTGTTATTAAAAAATACTGATAAAAATAAAAATATATAATTCTGATTATAATGCATGTATAAAAGTCATACCTTAATTCATCAGCATCATTCGTACAACTAGCAACAATTAAAGCACTCAAAATCTTGTGGGATTAGAAAATTATACGCATTTTCCCACGCATCATACAAAGATTTTAGAAAAAAGGGCAATCCAATTTTTAGAAAGATTGTACTTTTCAAAACAAATGAAAATAAATTGATTGCTCCTATTAGAAAGAGAAATCATAATTGATGACAATAATCGATTGTCCTATTAAGCTTGTCAATACTTTTGCTTGGCGGACAATTACCTGTTATTATCGGTTACCGGTTAATTTGTGATGATTTTAATTCCACCAATTTACTTAAATGTAAACGAGAATACAAGAAATTCAACATATGGAATGTAGTGCACATAATTTAAAAATAAAGCATTATTCCTTTTCTTAAGTAAAAATAAATCGTTATTCATACATTTATTCGTCAGATAAATCTTCCTGTATATTAGTAAATTATGACAACTTGACAAGTGCGCCAGCTATTGTAATTTAAATTGTTCACCCCTAATAACCAATATTCAAAAAGAAGTCTTTATAAAAATGTTTGACTGCTCGCAAGCTTAAAAAAGGTCATTCCAGAAAGCATATATGCTCGCTGTTGTTGGCTGAAGGAAAACTAGCTAACTTAAATAATATCTGCAATTGTAATCATCAGTACTTTATATTAAATATATATATGGTACAGTAACTAATAAATTATTCACAATGACAGAATACAATTAGATGTACAAATTCTAGCCCAAGCAACTCCAATTATACAGAATCATCTCTATTTCATAGGCGACGGCTACACATCATCAAAGTCTGATTCTTCATCGGTTTCTTCGTACTCTCCACTTTCCTGCCAAATATCAGAAAATCATATGTATATAAACCCCCATCAACCATCATACAAACAAGCCTCAGTTCAGTGCCCTACCATTTTCTTCTTATATTCTATCATTGCTCTATCAAATTCTGCGCGTTTTTCTGTGGCTATATCGTAGTATTGAACCTTCTCCTGTAAGATAGCAGTGTCATAAAACGAGTGAATTTTGTTTACATTTTATCAGTAATCATTCAAGAACTGGCTTTGATCGTGCAGAATAACTCAAGACTTTGATGATTAAAATTGATTTTGGCCAAGAACTCCCATCAGAGGATACCGTATTATATGCTACTTCCGCATCATACTACCAAATTCCCCGATTCAACATCATCCTAGAAATGTCATGACATGAATCAGTTTTTTTTTTTTTGGGAGTTTGGGGGGGGGGGGAGGTATCACACTAGTACATCTGGGTAAATATAGGAAATAAATAATTTGTTCTTTGCACGGTTTTATTAAATTCATATTTATCCACATTTAGACATGTCTGTCAAGACCAAGCACAATGAAGTTCCACACTTCATACCCAATAATTTGGAAGAAAGCTCCTGAACCAATTTTGGAACTACAATATACGATTGACTCCAATTCCACCTTCCAACAGTAACCATCATAACGGTGCTCTTGATTGTTGAGGCTAAATAAGAAAAGAAAAGAAAAGGTTACAAATACAAACCTCATAAGTCATTGTTTTCCACTTCTCTCCACAAGCCTTGCCGATCTGAATGAAAAAAGGAAGAAGGGAAAACAGAGTTGGGTTACTAGCAGATAATAAGAGGAAGAAAAAAAGTTCAGCAGCTCTTTGCACAGCAAGTACTGAACTTCCTTCCAAACTGTTGAATAATTGGCAGCTTATTTAACACACAAAAAAAAAAAAGGAACTGCTTAGGTTCTAAATCTACTAGATTCTAAGTATGAAGTCTTTACACAAACAGTAGTTCCATTATCTTGCTTCCCAATTAAAGATATATATCAAATTGTATAAGCATCTGCATTACAACAAAATGAATTCTACGCTTACATCACGCATTGACTTGACATCTGGATTCTGCTCTTGAAATTCTTTACGAAAATCCTCCCTTGACAAATGAAGAAAAAATAATATTACACACAATAATAGTGAAGGATTATAATGCAGTTAATTAATGAGAAGGAAGTACCAAATAGTGGTTCAACATAGCCATCATGGCACTGCATTGGGTTAATCAGCGAGGACACAATGCTATAAATATGGGAAATTGCATCTAAATAACCAGATTATTGACTCCAATTGCAATGTCTGCCCCAATTTAAAAGCATTCAACTCTCCAGTCTGTTAACCCCATTGTAACAAGCCCCCTTTCAGCTAAATTTAGACATTTTTTTAGTTATGTTCTTTATATAATACTTTTCTGTTCATTTAATAACCTTCTTATCATTCTCTTCATCTTCCCAAACCAATTTATCCGTCTCCATCGTGTAATTCTGATGGAGACTGAATAATACTTAATTATAGGGAAATAAGCATCTCTGCTCTATTTAGCGGTAAGAGGAAATACAAAACTGTCCCCAGTTACAGCCTAATTAGAGAGGTTAGGATTCTCCCCACAAAAAAACCAAAACTTTTCCTAACTCCAACTGACACTATTCTCTCCATAAAAACCTCACGCCCCTGTCCCACTCACTCTCCTCTTCAGACTTGCACAGGAGTTAGTTAACTCCTTTATCAGTACCATTTTGCCTCCCGGTCTTGTCATTTGTACCTGAGGAAATACTGAGTATCTTGGCATCAAAAGGATTTTATTCACTTGGCAAGGCATAAAAAATGCAGGCATGCAGATTCCGTGACAGATGATTATTGAGCCCGATTATCTGTAAAGTGATGGTGTAGAATAAAATGGTTGGAAAAAATAAAGAGGAAGCCAGAAGGGGTATTAAATAACAGTAAAGGTGTTACACTAAGTTTATATAGCCAGAATTTTCTAAGTTAGATGATAGAGGCTTATAGCAATGAGTTTCATAGAACAGGATATCAATTGCAATTGTCTGAAGATAGAGGAGGACGGTCCAACTGGGTGCAAATATTCAGGTAGGTAGGTGCAATTTTCTCATTTAAATACGGCAACAATCAACAAAACAAGCTCTAAGCAAGGAAAACCAATAATGCATGCATAACAAGAACAAAAAATAGGTAACTCAGCAGTAATATGCAATTAGCTGCTGATATTTGTAGCAATACATAGTTGATGACAACAAAGAAAAGAATGAAACATATAATTCACAAAATACAAAAAGTGGGGTCACTAGAGGATCCACGTCAATAAAACATGTACTGTATAATAAGGTGAATAATCTGCATGGCTGTTAGGATCACTTTAGGAAGTTTAGAGAAAATTCATGGAATGGGAAAATATGCTTTTTGCTGGGAAGAAGTTTGACTGGCTACTCTGAAGAAAGAAGTAAGAGTAGGGCAGCTATAGGACTGCTATAGTCAAAATCTATGAGTTGGGGGTTGTGAAAGTTACCTTTTGGGTCTACAAATCTTTTATTCGGCTGGGCACAAAGAGTGTGGAGAATTTAAATTGTGGTCTAGGCCCTTGGGATGGAGAGAGCCAACCTCTCCAAAGTTTGGCAAGTCTTTTAGTCCACTGTATCTTGTTCTGTTGCTTGTTAGTTTGTAATCGCCACTTCCATTGTAGCTCATTGTAGTATGTATCAGTGTGTAAGAGTCATCTATTCCCTTGTTATTCAGTAAAACCATTATCAATCTCCAGTGTCCCCCTGTTCGTTTCTGATTTTTAGTCTTGTCATAAGTTTTTATAGGAGGGTGCCATCAATGGCAAATTCTAAATTATTTTTCATGCTCATTTTGTATTTAGCATTGTTCCAGTCCCGCACATAAGTTATACTCCCTCCAATCCTAAATATAAGAGCTAGTTGTGGAGATTGCTTTGATCATAAATATAAGATTCAATCTCATTTGTCTCCCAAATTTATTGTTTTTCTCCTAAACTACCCCTATTCATAGTTGCCAATGTAAATAATTATATAGAAGGATATTTTAGGGAAATCTACAAATATTCTTTACAAATAACTAAGTTAATTTTCCTAATTTATTAGAATTAGTTATCAAGCTCTTACATAGAGGACTGAAGGGAGTACCATTAATCCATGAATTTTAATAGGATTCCATATTCCCCAATTATAAACAGTACCTTATACATACATATGTACGTACCTATGTACGTACGTACGTACCTCCATATAAGAAAATAACATGAACTGCTCTAAGCTGTTCATTATAACCTGAACCACAAACAATCCTTGGTATCTCAATATTTCAAAGAGTTCAAAATACACAGTAAGGATGTTTCCATTGCTATGTATATAAACTACAAGGCAGCATACTCCTGTTAAGTGTTACCATGAAAAGAGCCAGTAACAGGATCATTAAAAAAAAAAAAACACGTGTGACTCCTGTGAGCTGACACCTCATAAGTAACTAATAATTACCGGCATATATAAATAGAAAAAGAAGCAAGCAGCCTTACAAGAAGTAGAAGAAAGCAGTTGGGGGTTTCTTTGGTTTCTTAGCATCAATTTTTTTGTTAACCTTCTTCTGCTTTGCTTTGGGTTTCTTCCCCGATTTAGTCAGCTGGGAAGATCTCTTCATCCCCTCATTTAACTTTACCCGCAACACTATCCTGCTGAAAATTCCAAAGCCACAGTATATACAGTCATGGACAAGGATTTAAATAAACAAAATCCTGTTGTGCACAAGCTAAAACCGAAGGATAAAGTGTCAGACCAAGTTGAAATTCATGCAGCTACTTCACTTGGTTTAAGACCACAGCATTCATCAAAGGAAAATTTTCCAGCAGACTCCCACCCAATTATTTATTATCAATTAAGCCCCTCGTTCCTCAAATAATTAAATGTTAAGCAATCTCTATAGGGAGCAAAAATTTTTCAAAGACAAAGAGAATTACACACAAACGACAATATTCACTTCCCCCGTATTGGAACACAAGACGAGCTGGTAAATCCAAAAACTTGAGAGTCCCAGGTCCCAACCAGCTTAACACTCCATTTAGCCATTTTCCCCAGTTCAATTTTTTTATCAATTAAATGCATATTCAAATGTTTAAAAGGGAACGAAAACTTTTCAACCATTGAATCATGAGGCGAATTGGTGAAACCCAACACTCAATTGAAACAAGTTACGTTGACATAATAAAATAAGCAAACCAAAATATAGTCGAAGTTGCCGGATTCCCTTAAATCAATGGCACTCCAAAACAGTGATGAGAGTGAAGGAATAAAGTGAGTGAAATGCTTACCCGTCAGAAGAAGTTCTGGGAGAGCTTTCATTAGAAGCAGAAGCAGACGGTAATGAGAGAGACCTCTTTCTCGACCGCGTAGCTTCCTTCGCCATCTGGGTGAGCCGTTAGCGCGCAGCTTCTCCCCTTTTCTCTCAGTCCACTGCCCTCCGTTATACCCAACACTGCCTTTTTGCGTGTGGAATGGACTATGGCTTACAAAATTTAGATTTTTATTTAATTTTTATCGTTATGATAAAATTTAAACTATTAAAGTCTAATATAAATAATCCAAATTTAAAATTTTTACTTATAATTTTTTTAATAATAAATTTTTTAAAAAAAGCTTTAATTATAAGATTATTTTTAGTTTAAATGTTATAATTTTTTAAAATAAAAATTATTTAAAATATAAAAAATTAAATTGAATACGAATCATCCAAAGCCAATTTATATTATTTAGATTAAGATGAATACCTCTTGTTCTATATAAAAAAAAATTTATCAGCAATTGTGCTGACGTTTTTTCTCCTTTTAAAAGTGATGAGCAAGTCATCACCCATTTAACACGCAAAATGGCACTGTTTTGAGGGTATGTGGAAGGGTAACAGATTGGAAAATAAAAGGAGAGAAGCAGCACGCAGCCAGACAGCTCCGGTTTGATAGAGTGAATTGGATTGGATAGCCACCGTACCATACGGGTCGAGCCGAGTTTCAATGGCTGGTATTAAGAAAAATTAATATTTGATGAAAAAATTAATATTTTTATCCCTGTAGCTGTTACTCAATCGGAACTCAATTTCTATACTTGGATTTAGTGTAACTTGAATCTTATAGTTTTAACTTAATTGTAACTCAGTTTTTTATTTGTTACTCGTTAATTAAGGGTGAAAACAAACTAGATCCTTATTAGGGATCTATGACCTAGTCCACATATGATAAAACCTAGTATTGCTTATTTAGTAAATAGGTCATGTTCAAGACTTATTTAAACAAACAGGCTAGGCGTGTTTTCATAAGGCCTAGCCTACAAATCTAACCTATTTAGTTTTTTATTAAATTTGTGTTGTTATATATTATATAATATAAATCAATTTTGTAAATTATTTATAAAATTATAAACTTTAGTTTCACCATAAGTTTTACGTCATAACATTCCTACATAATATCAATTTCTTTCATTCATCAATCATTCACTTTTACCTCTCTCTTTTTTTTCTCAATGGCTCAATGTGACAATGTTAGCTCACTTCCTCTCCTCTAATTTTTGTTGTTTGCTAAATATAATAATTGCCGTAAGTTTATTTTAGTGATGTCTAAATGAAATATTATAACATCAGTGAGAAGAGTTTGCCCGGTTTACGTAAGAAAACCAAAATCTAATTTTACATGCTAGTTGTTGTGCTTGGTTAATTTTAGAAAATATATCTATTTAGGTAACAGATAATTATTTTTTTTATTTCTACTTAATTCAACAATTGTTGTCACTATGCATTCTTTTCTTTTCTTGCTAAATTCTCATATTGTAAGTGAAAATGGATTCTATGTTTTTAAAACATAACATAGGCTTTTAAATTGGTTTGAAGGGTTATATATAAACTTAGAGGCATATATTTTTAAACCTATTTAAAGGCCTTTAAATAGACTTTAGACCTTGTCAGGTTCTTTGAAGGCTCAGGCTCATGCTTAAAAAAAGCCTATATGTAGGGTCAAGCCCAGGCTTAGGCTCTAGATATTTATTATAAGCCCAGACCTACTTAGCTAAAGCCTAACTCAACCTAACCTATTTCCATCCCTAATTGCAATACAATTTGTCAATTTAATTATATATATGGTTTTATTTTCAAAAACATAGGAACTAAATTATAAAGTGCTTAAAACTATTAGAATTTAATATGTAATGAATAAAATTTCAAAAAATGAGTTAAAACTAAGTTAAAACTATAAGAACTGATTTGTAGTGGGTCAAATGGTAGGAACTAATTTACAATTAAGTCAAAACTATAGGGATTAAAAATTAATTTTCTCTTAAAATTAATAGCTTTTGAAAATATAAGAGGGGAGGAAAATAACTAGTCTCCGTACTAACTTGCATATATATATTGAGAAATATGTTGAAAATTCATTGCACATGGATAGGCTTAAAGAAAAAAATCATGTAGAGAGAAACTTGTTCCAAGACTAGTCCAGCAATGCAATAGAGTAGCCTGACAACTCAAAACCCAATTGGTTTATGATACTCCTCCGTCCTTAATATAGGACCTAATTATTGAGTTGGTTTTGTCCTAAATAAAGAACCATTCTCATATTTATCATTTTTTCTAAATTCCCCTATAGATACTCTCCCTCACATAGTCAAATAGAAGAGAGAGGAAATGGATTAAGAAAGATGATTATGGTATTTTAGGAAAACATGTCATATTTCTTATAATTAACTAACTTACCTAACTTCCTTAATCTAATCAAATTAATTAAATGGTCTATATTAAGGACGGAGGAGTACAAACTAATTGACGTTTTTTCTTGAACTTGAAGCAATCACTAAGAGTTTGTTTGGTTGGAGTGGAGGAGAGGGAGGGAAAATGAGCTCCTCCCCTCACTTGGTTAAAATTTTGGAGTGAAGGGGAGCTAAAATGTCCCCTTCCCTCCCCTCCCTCCCCCCATTTTAGCTCCCCTCCAAATTGGGGGTTTTTGGAGGGAAGCCAAATTTTTGGACCATTATACCCTTATAGAATTTTTAATATTCCACTTCTACCCATAAATATATTATTATAATATTTATTTAAATAAAAATATATTATCCTAAAAAAAAAATACATTATTATAATTAAAAATATATTATAAAAATATTAAAAATAAAAAGTTATTTAATAAAAATTATAATATTATAAAATTAATTGTTTTTTTATAAATATATTTTAAAGCTGGAAAAAAGATAGCCTAAAGAGAAAAAATTTCATTTTTCTTAGAGCATATAAAATTTGTTATTTTGATTATTTTAAATATATTATTATATTAATTAGAATAAAAAATTACTGTACCAATTTTTTAATACACATATTAACATGATAAGACTGAATTTTTATTAAATTATATAATTTAAATTAAGATGTAAATTAATTTATATAATATATCAATAAAAAACATAAACTAATATGTAAGGGTAAAATGGTAAATTGATTATTACTATCCCTCCCCTCCCCTCCTTGAACCAAATAAGGGATCATTAAATATCCTCCATTCCCTTCCTTTTTAATCAAACCAAACAAGGTGAAGATAAACCTCCCTCCCCTTCCTTACCCCTCCCTCTCCTCCCTCAAACCAAACAGGTCCTAAATATGCTTGATTGAAACAAAAAGTCCTTTTAAGAAGATATAAATATGACAAGTTAATGGTTAATAACAAGTTGCCTAAGTAACAGCGCTATCAAGTTATTTTCATCAGATTATCGGGTACGTCCTGAATCATTTTGTGGTGTCAGAACATATGATCAGATTCAGAGCATTTACCGTACAACTGACTTCGTATGTCCCAATGATAGCTCGTTTTCTAGCGACCAAGATACTTTTCCACTGATCATAACCATTTCTTCATAAATGAACACCCCCTTCAAAATCCCACCATCCTCTATTTCCCTCCATATTCCACTACTTAATGAAAACATCTCAACTCGATTATCCCCAATTTTATAAAGTATCACTAATTGTAATCATTTACAATTGGGCTAAACCCAAATCCAAGCATAGTCGAAAAAGGAGTTCTTACCGGCACAAACTCTGCATGATCTAGTTGCAAGATTAGTAGTGAGAATTGGATCTAGAGGAAGGGATTAATTTCTCATAATGTGTGAATCAGAGTTCGAATCCCCACTAAGAGAGTTGCTCACATTTAGTATCTAACAGTGCCTCGAATAGAAGGATGCTTACGCTTTAGGGGGAAAAAAAAAAGTTGCAAGATTGAACAATGCGAATGAAGGACCAAAACCCATAATCTGGCTAAATTGAGCACATATCAACCCATCATAAGAACCCAACATCGAACCCCTGTTAACAGCCTCCGTCTGAGAGGGTCTATGAACTGTAATAAATTACAGCTCCCAATTAAGTATGCTGAGCTCCAAGGGAAACTCTTCTAACAGAAAGAGAGAAGTATTTTGACTTTGAAGATGTTCTGCTACAAATAATCTAGTTCGGATGATATCTATTCAACATCTACACATACATTGAAATCGGATAAAGGACTTCACAGAAAGTATTATGAGAATGCATATGATCAATGCTTCACAGAGAAATGGAATCTCCTCGTTCATTGCCATCTGAGTCATGTTTGCAGGAAACAAGAAGCCTTTAGCGGCCAAAAAATTGCTAAGAACGTGGGATATGGAAGAAGGTGGTGTTGTCTGCAATGGGGGTTCTGCACAAAGAGCGTACGAATGACAAAAGGTTCCCGCGATATGAACAGCAAGGTTCTATTCCCTATTCTAAGTAAGTTATTTACCATGTCGTAAGCCCTTGTTTAATGGTTTCAATATGCAAGGACAGATGGATTTAACAGTAAATTTAGAAGAACCAGTGAAAAAATACTCATTCGGTTCTTAATATAAGACATATTTAATTAATTTGATTAGATTAAGAAAATTAGATAAGTTGATTAATTATAACAAATATGACATGGTTTTTCTAAAACACTATAATCATTTTTCTTAATATCCTCTCTCCCTCTTCTATTTGATTATAGTTGAGAAAACATCCATAAGGGTAATTTAGAAAAAATTAATAAATATGATAAATAAATCTTATATTTAGGATTAAAATCAACTTAACAATGAGGTCTTATATTAAAAACCGGAAGAGTAGAAAATAAAAACGTAAGGAACTACAATGGAGTATGCACTATGAGGATTGGGTATTAATTTTCCATGCAAAAAAAACTGTAATTTGTACAAAGAATTTTTGTTCTTTAGGGGTACTTGATATTATTAGAAATGCATTGATGTAAGACAGTCAGGTGGCGAGCAAAACTTTGCCGTCAAACTTGAATGCTCCCTTCAGTTAATTATTTAATTTAGAAGCTAAAATCATAAACTATTTATTGGGCTGTCCCCTCCTCAACTTTCAAAGAGGCATTCTTTCATTCCCCACTCTATTAATGCTGACCTAAAATGCATTCATAGTTTGGTTAATAATAATGAGTCATAT